AACATTCTGGAGTTAATAGTGGGGTGGATGGAGTGTGCAGAGCCCTGGCTGTGAGGGATAAACATCCTCCCAATCCCTAGGAACAGACATCCACCCTCCCAGCACGCTGTCTGAGGGGAGAGGGGCATAAACCTGGCACAGATTGTGACAGCAGAGCTCCCCCTCAGCTGTGCTGTTTCTTGTCATGGAATGATTTGGGGTGGAGGGGACCTTAAATCTCATCTCACTCCACCCCTGCCATGTGTAGGGACACCTTCCACTAGCCCAGACTGCTCCAACTCCATCCAGCCCGGCCTTGAACATGAGCAGGAACGGGAAGTGTTCGGTGTTGATGGAATTACAAACACCCCCCTGCACAGCCAGTACACCCTGGGGGCTGTCTGGAGGTTATTCTGCATTGGGTTTTTAAATATTTCTTTCTTTTTTAAAGTTCTTACAAGAAAGAATGTGGGGTCAGGCTGTCCAGCCCCTGCCCGTTCAGTGCTTTATTCCACGTGGGCAGACAGGGAAAGGGACACAGAGGGGAAGGGGAATCCACAGCATCTCCCATGATGAGGCTGCTCCAGAATGGTTTGTGACAGCTGAACTGGTGATGTCACCCACGGGCTGTTCCTCATTAGGATCCCTGTGCCAGACACAGGGACATTCTCCAGCCCCTGCCTGGCTCCAGCAGACAAAATGCACAACAATTGGTGGGAAATGTGGCCAGGGAGCCCCACGCTGGAATGTTCACCCAGGGTTTGGGCTGGGCTCTTTCCCAGGAGCACAGTGCTGGTGCAGATGATAAAGGTGTGTGGGTCAAGCTCAGCTCTGCTGGGCTAATTTATCAAACTGGGGTCAGAGGGCTCTTGTCGTGACATTTAGAGATAAGCATTTGGGAGGGAAATGAGATGGAGCAGCCTGTGAGGAGATCAGAGGGTGCTTGTGCAGCTTCAGACCTCAAGTAAATTACAAATACAGCATTGGTAGCCTGGCCATTGCTGTGTCCTTTGTACTGTACACAGGGTATTAAGATCTAGATAAATAATGTAGTTTAGTTGTCAGAAAGACACATTTGTTGCCCAGGATTGTAACACAGATTTATTCTTGGTTTATTTTCCGTGGAGTTATTTTTAATGAGAATGGAAAGGGAGTTAAAAATTATGTGGATTCAGATTTCATTGTTTAGCTACTTGATCAAAATATAAACTCATTGTTTTTACTCTTGTAAAGAGGAAATGCTATATTAGCTTTCAGCCATCAGATTTGATTCAGATAATGATACAGCATCCTCATTCACGGGCTCTTCATCAGATACTGAGTTTGTCTCTGATAGAGCCCTTTTCAGAAAACTGCTCTACCCCTGATAAATCATCCACAGAGAAAGAATGCATGTATTTAGATGGCACAGAAAAGTAGGCTAATAATGGGATTGTATTCCTATACTCAAATATTTCAGTGTGTTTGTGCTGATAAATTACAATTTGTTTTAATGCTCAGTTGCATGGACCCTTTTCAGCTGTTCAGCTTGGCTGCAGTGTTTTGGTAGCTCTGTGAGGGCTGGAGCCTGGATGCTTTTCCTGTTTTGATCACAGCCCAGGCAGTAAAGGCCACTACACTTTAAACAGATAATAAATCACCCAGTGTCCTTGCTAACCAACACTGCAGATTCCCCTGGGTCTGAGCTGAACGTCCTTCTTCCTGTTCAATTTAGTGTAAAGAAGGTAAAATTCTGTTTGAAGTTCAGTGTAATATTTTGAGACAAAGTCTGATGAGAAATTTTTCCAAACTGCCAAAAATAAATCTCCCCAGCAGAGCTGTGACTCGAGGCATATGTATTCTTGACTTCTGTCTGTTTATTTTTATTTCCCTTTGGTTGTGAGCTGTCTCAAGTTTTGATGTTGTTTTGCTGAGGAAGGAATTATAAAAGTACCCTATAAACTCTTTCCTATAAACTCTTTCCAAGGGCAAGGCAGGAAAAGAGGGGAGAAAAGAAAAACTGGTGTGAAAAAGGTGTTTATGCCATTTGCTGTGGTGTGTGCCATTTATCCACTCACCTGCATGGGGCTGAGTGTAAAACACTGCCTCACATTGCTGCAGTTCCCTTTCCTGGCCTGTTTGCTCTGCCAAGGGAATGGCAGTGGGATGCTCTGTCTCAATTGTTCAGCTGCAACAAATTCCAGGTTATTGTGAGGATTTCAAGTTGTCAAAGCATTTACCCCATTCAGGTGTGTGCTCTGATGTGTCCTGGGGTTGCCCCACATGGATTGCAGTGGGATAAACCATTGCTTGCCAATGGAGCTGAATCACCCTGAGCTGCCTTCTCCTCCATCAGGAAATATTTTAAAAGTAGTTTTACCCCAGTCCTCCATCAGGAAATATTTTAAAATCAGTTTTACCCCCAGCACAAGCTGCTGTCTGAATCAAGCACATGTTTTCACATAATGGCATGAATTTTGCTTGGTAACCTTCTGATTGCTGGGATTAGTGTTTAGCATCCTGAATTTGCTAAATCAATTCACTTCAAAAGTTTTCTCCCTTTTTATTTCTGTTTTTATGGCTTTGGGATGCTCCTTCTGTGTCTCTCCACCCTGCTTCTCTCCCTCTGTGCTGCTACAAACAGCCAACAACAACATCCCTCATTATTCAAGATGAATATGAAGGTGAAGTCCTGACATAGTTTATATCCTGAAATAAAAAGTGCTGCAAATCCTGTCTTTCAGAAGTCAGGATGTGCCAGAGGAGGCAGTTAAATAGCAGGATCTTGGCTAGAGCTTGCCATGGCCACAGGAGCAAGGATGACATTCTCCTGCCTCTGGATCTGGGATTACATCTCCTCTATTTCTGCCTTCACTTCTGACATCACTTTTCTGGCTGGTGCCAAACAAGTCAGTAAATTCAGAGGCAATATCAGGGACAAAAGCCCTAAACTCAGTGATTTTCAACCAGCTGAGATTTTTATTTCAAGAAAAGTTGCTTTGCTTGGATGATATAATTTTTCCTGATTTTATAAAGGGTGCCAGTATCGAGGCTGTAAATCTAATTCTGTTTGTAATTTCACTGGGCACTAAAACTGCCTCTGCCAGATTTTGGCCTTGAATGTGGGCATTTATTTTGCCATCAGTGGTTATTGTTACTTTTTTCAATGTCAGCATCATCAGGTTACAAAGAAAACATGTTCCAAAACGTGCACAGCCCTCAGGTCTCCCTGGGAGGGCAGGGAGTGGGGAAAAGCTGCTCAACCTGCCAGTTTGCTTTGGTAGAAGTGTAATTTGTGGATGTTTCTGATCCACAAGGACAGTGTCCAACCTTCTTGTGTCCCAAAACAGGCAGCAGGATTTATCAGGACACATTGGGGTGACTTGGCTTGGCCTAAGAACAGAAGCACAGTTTGGTTCAGCCCAAAGAGGCAGCTCAGAAAGCTGCAATATTATCCTTGACTTGATGGGGATTAAGCTGTATTTTAGTGCAATAACCATGTCACAAGTGAAATTTGACTGATCATTTGTCTTTGATAGCTTCATTTGCCTTGGGCCCCCTAAGCCATTTCTCAGGGAGTGGGAGAACTCCTGATACTCCAACTCTCTGCATGACTTGTCATTTAAATGACAAAAATCACTTCTCTCAAAAGCCTACTTTTCCTTCAGGAAAATCAGATTAAACCCAAGGCTCAGAGTGTTTTGGTGAGTGGTTTAACATCCAATATGTTGCATGACTGTAGATGTGTAAGTAAATGCGTTGGAAAAGAGAATTCCCAACTTTTTAAGGTCACCTTCTTTTCTGAAAAGCTTGAGGCCTCAACAGACCCTTTTGTATATAGAAAAAATGCTTCAAAGATGTCTTTGTGACCCCTTGCATGAGGTTCAGGCAGCTCAGGGACTTTGGCCTGGGTGCAGGGAGGAAGATTTCATGGTGACTGTTCCAGTTGTGGGCAGTATATGGAGTAGTCCACAGTCTGACCAAATCTCACCTGGCCTTAAAAATGGGTGTTTAGCACTCATTTAACACAGTTCTGCTCAGCTGAGCCTTGGAAATCTCCACCAATGGGAAATCCCCCCAGTGCTGCCCTCCCAGGTGATGCAGCTTCAGGTTATTGCTTTAATCCTCTTCCAGATTCATTTCCAGCTGGAAGTGCACCACGAAATGGCTGCTTGTTCCTTGTCAGTGGCAAAAGCAGGAATGCAGCATCTTGGCTGTGCATGACTAACAGTGGCCTCTGCAAAGTTACTGGATTTTATTCTTCAGGCACACACATAATAAGAATTCTTGAATTTGTAAGTAAGTGAATTAGATCCAAACCAGCTTAGAGGTGAAGCCATAGAAAATTTTATGTACAATGTACATTTTTTGTCCTAAATTATCTCTGCTGCTAAGTAAAAACATGTTATAAACCTTTAGAGTGATTTTGTGGGCAGTATTTTAATGAATTATGTAGCACTGAGTGTGTTGTAATTTGGAAGAAGAAATGATGAGTTATACAGAAACCAACAAATAATACTTGTCATCTTCAATGAGCTCCAGTTCTCTGATGACTAAAGCCAGAGCACTCTGGGGAAAATAATAAATAAACCAGAGATTTTTCAAAATGGCAACACTTGTAGTTGAAATGATGGTCCAGAATCATCTTCCTTTGAGCCTGGCTTCCATTTGTGGGAATTTCCTTGGCATAAATTCAGAGGTGTTGCTGCTGTGGAGGTAGATAGAGACATTTACTGCTAATCTGATTAATGTTTCAGCTGAATTAGGGGACTGAAGGCATTCAGACCACTGATTGTGAAGTGCTTAGCCAGCCCCACACAGTTTGGATAATTATTACCATTTGCAGCATGTGCAGGTGCGTGTCAAACTAGAAATTCACACCTGCTCAAACTGAACTCCAGGTATAATTCTATTTTCATCAAATCTCCCACAAAACACAGAATTGAAGTAACACTTGAGAACTGAAAATAACATCAGAGAAACACAATGCTGACTTGTCCCTTCCAGTGTTTCTGATGGCATTTCCTGCTTGTGTCTTCCAGGACCTGCGCAAACAGGTAGCTCCATTGCTGAAGAGTTTCCAGGGAGAGGTAAGAGCTGCTTCTGCTTCTTATCATGTCTTCAGTGCTGCTTCACATGAGCCTGGTGTGGCCACAGAGCCCTCAGGGCTCAGCCCTTCGCATTCTGCGTGTGCAGGGAATGGCAGCACCCGAAGGGAGCCTGAAGATGGAGAGGGAGGTTTTACAAGAGCACAAAGTGACAGGACAAGGGGGGTGGCTTCAAACTGACAGAGAATAGGTTTAGATTGGATATTGGGAAGAAATTCCTTCTTGTGAGGGTGAGATTGGATATTGGGAGGAAATTTTTTTCCTGTGAGGGTGGGGAGGCCCTGGTATATGTTGTCCAGACAAGCTGTGGCTGCCTCATCCCTGAGAGTGTGTAAAACCTGGTTGGATGGGGCTCTGAGCTACAGGGGGATAGGATATAACAAAATAGTGTAGAAAGTAATCTTACCCCTAAGGAGTTGCAGCTGGGTCAATTATCAAAGATTAGGAGCAGGCCTGACTTGAACAGGCCACAGCTGTACTCAGTGAGATGAAGATGCTATAAAAGAGTGGGGTGGGTGGTTGGGAAGTGAACTGGGGTCATTTGGCTGCTTTGTGAAGAAGAAGAAAGAGTCAGTGCTCTGAGGAGATGCCCATGAGAAACACCAAGAAGGTATGAAACTTTTGTGATAGGGGATAACAGTGTGGAACCCCTGTGATGGGCTGACAACACTGAGCAACCTGGGATAGAGGAAAATGTCCCTTCCCGTGGCAGTGGTGTGGAACAAGATGGTCCTTAAGGTCCCTTCCAACCCAGGCCATTCTGTGATTCAGGGTTTGTGCTGGACAATCTAAACTGGTGATTTTGCTCTGAGTCCCCTGAGCCTCTGTCACTGTGGCCTATCCAGCTCACTGGGCCTCACTGACCTCACAGCTTGAGCTGTTAAAAAATGCAGTGTAGTGCCCTCATAAAACACTGAAATACTGCAAATTGTTCTCCTTACAAAGCATTTCAGCTGTAAAACATTGTATTGCAGAGGGCTGAGGGAAAGCCTTGGGTTGGCAGGGGTTTTTGCGAGAGGCTGCAGAAGCTCCAGCCCCACTGGTGACTCCCACTTGGGTTTCTCCTCACAGCACACACCAGCAGAGAGCTCATGAGTTTAAAAGCCAACTGTTGTTATTCTGAAGGGTTTCTACAGGCAAAGGCAGCTGGGCCAATTAGACTTTTCCATTTTTGCTGTGGCCAGATGGGAGCCGTGGTTGTGCTGCTCAGAAAGCATCAGGGAAGGAGGGTGGAAATTAAATTTGTCCTTGTAAAGCTCCGTGCCTGCCTGAGGTGCTGGATGGAGGCTTGAGCTCACACTGGTACACATTACACAGCTCTGCCCCTCAAGAATTGTGTTCCAGCACTTCCTCAGCCCATGAGCTGTTCACTGAGTTTAGATTGTGGCAGTTCCATCAGCACAGGGAAGTTCAGAGCATGTTTGCAGGATAGGGATTTAAGTGCTCAACTCCCCTTGGGGAGGCTTGCAATCCTGATCACTTCTACATCCTGCTAAATCTGTGTCCCAACCAGGAATAATCCCTCATTTAAAGGCAGCATGGTACTTTTTGTTTTACAACCTGATTTCCCAAGTATTGCTAGAAATAAATAAATAAACAGGATGACTTTGTCCTTGATACATCCAACAGACATTTGTGAGAACAAAGAATGACTTGTGTGAGTCCGTTTGCCAATGGAAATTTACACTTTAAAATTGCTCTGAGTGCATTGCAGTGCTCTCAGAACCTTTTCACTTCAGTTTCAAGCTTGCAATGCACTGACTGAAAAGTGCATGTGTGCTTTCAGCACTGTTCTTTAATGAAGGGAATGTCTGAGGATCAAGTAAAAAGCATAAATTTAAATTTGGCTACCGTGAAGGAGATTCTTCCATTAGATCTTCCCTGGTGGAGACAGCTCTCTGTTACCTTGGCATGGCTCACACACGCTCCTCTCCTGTAGTTTTGCTTCTCTGATATAAAAGTGAAGTTTATTTTGGTATAAATTCAACCCCGCCAGAGTAAAATTTGTTGTTGTAATCCCCTGTTACGTAAATGAAGCACAAATACATGAAAAGATTGTGCTGCTGAATCTCTGAGCTGGTGATTCCAGTCTCCCTAATCGAGACAGGGTTTCAGAAACCTAAAAAACCTGAACTAATCATGATTGACTACATAAATGCACCACATTAAACTGTGAATTATGGTATTTGATTATAGATGTAATTACTGTATCTTGTTTTGGAGACAAATCAAAATACCAAGGAGATGAGCCTGTTCTGTTGAGTTATATTTGATTGTTCAGGATATAGATCTGGTTTCTGGTTGTTGTTAAGGCTGACTTTCTGAAACATCAGGAGATAACTGCTCTGGGTATCTCAAAAACAGGTTTTGTTGAGCAAATAGGCTTCTCTCTATTTCAAATCCCCAGGAGATGCCTCAATTGCTGTCCCTTGAGAGGCTCAGGGAGCAGCACTGCTGGGAACAGCCACTGACCTCAGCAGCCCCCTGGGATTGCCTGGCAATAATTTATTACCTGGCAATAATTTATTATCTGGCAGGTGATATTTAATGTCCTGAGAGGAGCTGGCAAAGGGACCTTTGTGTCACACAGTACCTGTGGGATGGGATGTGAGCAGGGAGGAGGAGTAGAGCAAGAGGTTCCCCTATTTTGCTACACACGCATCAGTTTTCAGCCCCAGATTTGTCCCTGGAAGTGTCCAAGGCCAGGCTGGATGGGATTGTCAGTAACCTGCTCTGGTGGAAGGTGCACAAGGGAGCTGGAACAGGATGGGCTTTAAGATCCCTTCCAACCCAAATCTTTCAGTGATTTTTTTTTTTTTTTTTTTTAAAGATCAACACCAGTGAATAAATAAAGCAGAGGTCAGTGAAGTGGTGGGAGTAAATGTTTCTTAGGGTCCTTTCTGCTGGAGGACCAATGTCCTGGACCTGGAGTGGGGCATGCTGTAGGAGCAGCCTCCACAGGCATGGTGGGTGGGAATGTGGAGCTTTGGGGCACCACCAGCTGCTCCCTCAGGACTGAGGATAAAGGTTCTTGCCTGATGCAAATTCCCCATTTCCCTGTGGGAGAGTCTCCCTCTGACTCCTCTCTCCACCCCCACCGCTGCTGCTGCCTCATCCTTTGCCCAAACTCTGCTTTTAGACAGAATTAGGAGCTTTTGGCATGGAATAACAAAGTGGACTCCCCATCAGAAGGGAAATGGGCTTTTGCCAATCCCATGTGGGCTGACCTGTCCATGGGCTCTGGGCTCCAGGGAGGGCCAGCAGGTCAGAGCATGGAGGCAGCTCGGGTAAGCCCAGGTGTTTAAGCAGCTTTCCATGGGTATTGCTGTGTTCCTGCTCCCCACCCCTGCCTTTCCTCAGCTCTTTTTCTGCTCTGAGCCCACATTCAGCACAAAGTTGGGGTTTTTCCCCTCTTTTTGCTGGCTTAGTTTCCCACCAGGGGGGTTCAGAGCAGCAGCTCAGTGCAGGGGAGAGGCCAGGAGAGCAAAGGCAGGGGCAGGAGCAGCACAAATGTGTCAGCTCAGGTTGACTTAAACTGTCCTTGAACTGTGCCTGGGTGAGCCTGGCGTGACTTGGAGAGAGGGGAAGTTAAGCTCAGGTATTTATGTCCTCTCCCAAACACGATTTATGGGAGCTGCTGGTAAACCTGGGGCCAGTTGGCTTTTTTAAACAAACCCACGGGTCATTTTAGTCAATTTTTCTCTTCAGTTTGAGCATGGAATGTTGACACTTCCCCCCCAGTATTTTCCCTTTATATCATATGAATTTATAAATACCGGACAAAGCAGAGCATTCTGTATTCCTTGGTTATTTATCTCATCCATTCAGATAACAACTGTTCCAGTTATCAAATATTCAGTTGCCATTAGTACTTGGAAATAACTTTTTTTGTATAGATCTCAGTGCGTTAAGTAACTGGATTTTTTATGATAAGAGTTAAAGTAAAAGCACTATGAAATGGAATTTAGCATACTACAAATTTTCAAATGCATTCCTAGTTCAGCATGAGCCCCTATTAATTCATCACTGGAGAATAGTTTTATTATAGTACTTTTTCCTTATTTAGGATCTTAATGGAAATTTGAAGGCAGTTTTCTAATTTAACAGAATGTTGTGTCTGCTTCAGAGCTGATGGTACTGTTCTTTTGAAATCTGTGGGTAACTTCTCTGCCTTCCCTGGAAGATTTAAGGTCTGGTGGTGTAAATATGCTATTGTGAGCAAGACAGTTAAAAGTCATTAATTTCAGAAGTGTAAAATTCCTGTCATTTTGATCTTAAATCTCTGTCTGGCTTTTCCTTTTCCTTGCCATTAACTTGAGGATGCAACTTATTAATGGTTCCCTCTCCCTGTGCTGGGCTAAATACAGGACAGAATCAGGAAAGGTTAAAGAGCTTCACCATGCAATCATGACATGATTATTATATATAATTAGCAAGGCATCCCTGCCATCAGCTGTCTGAATAAGCTGTGTTTTGGGTAGGTCACTGTGCTTTACCATGGGTACATCAGTGGATGGATATTTGTACATGAAATCTGAAAAAAAATTAAAAAAAGAAAGGATGTTCTTGGGCTATGTTAATTTACAGAACTGAAGTTGTGGTATGGAAGTCTAATGTTGGAATCTGTATTTGTGAAGTCATCAGACAGATATTTTAAGGCTGGGAAAGGATTTCCTGAGGTCATTAGCATTCTTTTCATGTGGCATAAGAGCACTGTCCAACAGTAATGCAGTAATCCCTCATTTGGAGAACCCTCTAAGGCACAGACTCCAAAACAACGTGCTGGACTTGATGTCTGTGAAAGCCATTTCTCATATTCTTCTCCCAGAGCAAGTACTTTTAAGGGTATTGCCATTCTGATGAGACCACTCTGGCTCCCCACTCAGCTGAATTGCTCTTTAAACTATTAATTTGGTCAGTCAGTAATTTAATAATTTTCCATATGCAGACAACAGAAGCTGAAAATCAGTTTGATGTGCTGG